CCCTTGCAAAAGTGCAGTGAAAAAACAGGTGAGTCATTTTCAATCATGTTGCAATTAGTACAATATTTGCTAATCTTGGTCGACAAATTGCCAGCTCGAACTCCAGTAGCAATGGCTCTCCTAATCAATCTCCAAGCAAAACATTTTATATTTGGAGATAAAAGCTTTTGAGCCCACACCCTGGTCAGGATGTTCATCACCTGAGTGCCAACACTCCTTGCTCCTTGAGTAGGGACCTGTAACTGTGCGTTAAGATGCTTAAAAGCCTCTTTGGCCGAACACATTCCTTTGGCAGCTGGTTTCCACCTTACGGCATACAATCAGAGGGAATCAGGGAACAGAAATGGCTTGGGAGATAGCAGTAGCAGCATTGTTATCAAAAATTTGGGAAATGAGTTCATTATTCCATTTTTGAGTTTCTGGGATCCAGAGGTCAGAAATTCTTTGTGGTAAAGTAGGGACAGTGATGGGAAGATTAAGATGACCATGAATTTCTTTCCAAACTGAGCACCATAGTGTGGACCAGATGCTGGAATTCCCTCTGTGAATTTGGATAGTGCAATTATGAACCAATATATCTTTAATTTGCATAACAGAGGACCAGAAAGCAGATTTTGTTGAGTTGTTGTGGGCAAGCCAAAAACTTGTATTAGGGAAATATTTAGCCTTGAGTATGCAGTGAGAATAGGGTTCTTACCTGTTACAACATTCCAAGCTGCATGGAGAATAAGGCTGCGGTTAACAGTGAGCAGATCTCGTACTCCTAAGCCTCCTTCTCTTTTGGGCCTGCAGATATCTTTCTATGTTCTGAAGTGAAAAGAAGATGAAGCAGTGTCAAGCAGTGTCCTCCTGGACCCCGGCCCACCAGAAGTTGCAAATAATAGTGGTGATCTTGGAGATGAAAGTTTTAGAGAATAAAATGGTGGACATGTAATAAATGGGAATAGAAGCTTGCACCGAGCTGATATAAGTGAGACGACCTGCATGATTGAGCTTATTTGCCTTGAGCGTGGTTAGCTTAGCCCTGAATTTATTGAGAATGAAATCATATGCTTTGGATCTATCATTATGATTAAAAATAAGTGGATGACCAAGGTAAATGGTGTTGGGAGAGAGATCAGCCACAGGGAAAACATTTTTAACATCCAGCCTGCTCCGGTTATCAACATTTCTGCTGAACATGATTGAGGACTTCGACAAATTCGGAATTCGACCTGAAGCATTGCAAAAAGCTTGAAGGACAGAGTTAATGTTAGTAGCTTCCTCATGAGTAGCTTGGCCACAAATAATCAAATCATCAGCAAAAAGAAGCGAGTGAATAGGTGGGCAGTCCGGACCAAGAGTGACCCCTTGAATGTTATGAGCGTTGGAGTGGTGCTGAAGGTAAATAGATAGTTCATTGACAGCAATGATAAATAGGTATGGAGAAAGAGGACAGCCCTGCCTAACACCACGCTGAGGATGAAAGGAAGGAGTAGGTTCACCGTTAATTATAACCGAACAAGTTGTAGTGGAAATGTAGTTATAAATAAGATCAATAAAATGCTCTTTGAAACCTTGTCTTTTAAGCGCTGTGACTATAAAATTCCACTCAATCCTATCAAAGGCCTTAGCTAGATCAAGCTTTAGAAAGAAAGCTCTCTGTTTCCAACTTTTGAGATTAAAGCTGTGAATAATTTCCTGAGCTATGATAATATTAGAAGCTATATGTCTACCATGAACAAAAGCCGCTTGAGAGGGGTGAATAATATGTGGTAGATGGTTCTTAATTCTATCAGCTAAAGATTTAGCAATGATCTTATAAGCCACATTACAAAGGCTAATTAGTCTATAATCCTTGGGCGTTTTAGGAGCGCTGACCTTTGTGATAAGAGCAATATGTGTACAATTGATGTCAGGTGGTAAAGAGCTAGATTGATAAAAAGAAGAGACAAGATTGAGGATATCCATACCTATCCAATCCCAAGAGGATTTGTAGAATGCTGCATTCAGTCCATCTGGTCCCAGGGCTGCATTGCTCCTCATGTTCTTTACAATTGTATATATTTCCAGCATGTCTGGAATTGAGTTTGTAAAATGGTCCTCGTTTATTACCTGGTTTCGCTCTGAATCACTGATCCAATCCTGTTGTTCGTTGCTATCCCTGTTATGATTCTGAGACCTGAAAATGTCCATGAACTAGTTGTTAGCAGTATGGGCAAGCTGTTCTTGAGTGGTGGAGAAGGAGCCGTCAGGATTTTGAAGGTGGGTGATTGTGTTTTTCCTGGCTCTTTTGATGATGGACTGGTGGAAGAAACTGGTATTTCTGTCCCCAACAACAGACCAGTTCTTTTTGTATCTCTGTCTGTGGTAAGCTTCATCTTTAGTGAGAATGGTCTCATGCTGAAGAACAAGGTCCTTTTGGAGGCTGGGATTTTGTTGATGAGGTGGGCGCATTTGAAGGTGAAGAATTTGATCCTCAATGGCTTTGAGTTGATCAGAAATTTTAGGTTTGGTTTTGCGCCACCTCTGCAAATCTTTGGCAAGGTAGAAGGTTTTAAGATGGAAGGGACGGTGAAAGGATTTGTGCCAACTTTGCTCGGCAGTATTTTCATAGTCATCCTCCAGGGGCCACCAGTTCTCAAACTTGAATGGCCTGTGATGATTGCAACGTCTGGCATTGAGAACCGCTAGAATCGCCATTTAGGACACTTAACGGTGTCAGTTCAGTTAAAAAAGGAGAAGTGTACCCATGTGGATTTGCCCCTACTTTTTTAAGTACTCGGTAATTTTACCCCTATTTTGAAATCAAACATTTGGACTGAATTTTGATATATTTGAAAATAAATTTGATAACACAATTTGACAATATGTGCGTCTATTTCAAATCTAATCAAAGTTAACACGTATAAAACTGAGCAGGGAAGCTGTGGTTAGATGCGACCAAAGCTTGCTCGCTGCCTCGCCGGGAATGCTCGTCTCCCCATGCATTTGCCAGGCTGCTGGTCGCACCATGGCGTGCTCCCCGCGGCAGCACACTTGCTGGGGGCTGCTGCTTGCCGAGCGCTCGAGTGGGCCACTCCACTCTTGTTCTGAGCTTGCATACCACGCTCCAAGCTTGCTGGACCTGCCGAGCTCGCCTGGCTCCATTGGGCCTGTTTGATTTCTTGCCCCTGGCCGGCCCAGCCGGCTGGCTTGGCTGTGGTTAGCTCTAGCCTGGTGTTGGCATATTTGGTGGTGTTGGCACATTTACAAAAGAGAATGTGTTGGAGTTGATTTGGATCAATTCGGAGTTGAAAAGGAGAAGAAAAGGGCAATGTTTTGGTTGTCCGGGGGTCGAAAGTTGCAACCTAACTTGCAGCTATTATAGGGGGTGACACCGCCCTTTCTGGTGTGCACCGGACAGGGCACCGCCACCCTAGGACAGTGCACCGCCACCCTAGGGCGGTGCCCAAAACCTGCAGCAGCGGCCTTTCGTATTTCAGGCATAACTCCTAGCTTCGAACTCTTATTTCAATGATCTAGGATTTTTTTGAAAGCTAACGAGTAGCTCTACAGCCTTGAAGTGGTGGATTCCAATTTGGAGCAAGTTAGGGCCATCGTACTGTCCGGTGACCATGGCGGTGTGGCATCACCACTTTTTTCCAGAGAGGGAGGAAAACTCGTCGGGGGCACCACCCCCTATGTACGGTGCTAGGGTCCCAACGGCTAGTTTGAAATAGTTATTACAATTCGACTGTTGGGCACTGCCACCCCCTGTCCGGTGCCCGCACGTTGCTATCCGGTGACCACGCAGAAATGTGCTACTATTTGGCTTGGGGGCTATAAATAGAGGTGGAGCTCGGCCTTGGGCTAGTTGCTGAGCACCCTTAAGCCTTGGTGGCTTGTGTAGGTGTGTTTGGGAGCCTTCTAACTCACATACGCTTGATAGTGATCATCCGATTGAGTGTGAGTGTGATTCTAGCGCGATTGCATCATGAGGTTGCATTGAGTGACACTAGGTGATCGAGTTGCAAGCCGGTGATGCTTGTTACTCTTGGAGGTTGACACCTCCTAGACGGTTTGGTGGTGATCTCCGTTGAAGTACGCAAAGAAGATTATGCGGTGCTCCGGAGAAATAATTGTGAGGGGTATTGTGCTCGCCCCACGGGGATCGCGAAGAGCAACTCTAGTTGAGCGTGTCATTGAGCGACCCTCATTTTCGGGATAGGTTCTTGCGGTGCCCGTTGTGTGGGCTTGGCGGGGTGATGCCAATTAGCTACCGAACCACCAAGTGAGCGGTCGACACGACAGGGACGTACAAAGTGAACCTTGGGAGAAAATCACCGTGTCAACATTGTCTTCATCGTCTTCTCGGTGGTTTGCATTCCGCGCAACACAAGCTTGTATTTACATTTCATATATTGTGCTTGTGTAGTTGCTCTTGTAATTAGTTAGCTTGTGTAGCTTACTAGTTACCTTCTTGCTTGTGTAGCATAGAAGTAGTTCCCTTGCGTGGCTAATTGTGTTTTAGTAACCTTGTTAGTCACATTATTTAGTTTGTGTAGCTAAGTAATTTACGCTCTCTAATTTGACATTAGTTGCCTTGTTATTGAGCATTGCTAGTGAGCTTAGGAGCTTTGTGTTTTTACTTACTAGTTGTGTAGGAGCTTCTCCGTGCTTGAAGTACTAGTGTCATAAGTTTATGTGACCTTGCTCTTAGAATTAGTTAGGTGAGCTCTAACTAGCCTGGCACCTTAGTTGCTTGTTTAGGATTTTTATAAGGTGTTTGTAACTTAGATAGAAGGGTATAGTCTTGGTTAGACTGATAGTTTTAATTTTATATTTGTTTTTATTAGCCGGGGTGATTAATTTTAGAAAGAACTATTTAGCCCCTCTGGCTCCCATGGTTCAACCTCCTGTGTTTGATTCTGATGTTCCTATTGAGCCAGGCTAAGTTGAGATTGTGTTTGATTCTCATGTACAGATGGATTGGATCACCGACATCTAGAAAACGGTAGCATTACCCTCCTAGGTCTGTACTAGGCATTCCATCGAGCACTTTCAAGGCGCCACCCAGGTGAACCCAGCACCACCGCGAGCAGAGCAGAACCATGAGAAGAACCGCCGGCGTCAGCTCCCCTGGCCTTGAGCTTGAGCAGGAACCGCTCGTTGTCCTTGTCGGCGACGTGGATGAGGCGCTCCAGCAGCGCCGGCCTCTCACGTGGGCTGAGGCTGAGCACATCGACGTCCACGAGGCCCTTCCTGCCGGGTGCCTCGGCCCTGTGCGAATGGCTTTGGGTTCCGTCGGATGGAGGCGTCCTCGCTTCCGTGCCTAGCTGCTGCTTCCTGTCTAGCCGGAGCGCGTTGGCGGGACCTGCATAGCGGTCGGGGGAGGAGGGGCGCTGCTTGGTCACCGGATTTGGGGGAGGAGCACTCGGGGCAGAGCTCGGTCATCGGCGCGGGACGAGGAGAGGAGGGGAGAAGGGGCGCACGGGAGGCAGAGCTCGAGGCGAGATCCACTCGTGGCCATGGAGCCCCCTGCTCCCATCCCCCACCAGCGGTGTCGCAGGGGCACAGGCCCCCCATCCCCGACGGCGGCCAAGGCAGGGTGGATCCAAGGCAGTGCGGTGGAGGGCTGCGGCGGCCTGGGGACGTCGACGAGCAGCCTCCTCGTGGCCGCTGGGAGCAGCGCCTGGGTGGAGGGCGGCGGCGCCTCACACGGAGGCGTCTGGGAGCAGGAGTAGGAGCTCGAGGACAACCCGCGTGACGCCGATTACCTCACCGTGCTCCCCCACCCGTACCTCATCGCCGAGCTCGCCGCCTTCATGTCCATCACCAACGCCATCTGGCAAGTCCCATAGCCTCCGTCCACTAGCTCAAGAGCAGGACGTGGAGTCACCAGCGCGAGAGCAGGACGAGCAGCAGCGCGAGCTCACCGTGTCCCAGCATCGGTGACGAAGGACAGATCGGGAGTCTTTCACCCAGCGCAGGAGGTGACTCCACGCCACGCGAGAGAGCTGGAGGGAGCCGGGAAGCAGAAAAACGGACTTCAGTTTCATTTTCCTAGAGCCAGGAGAGAGAAGGAATTTTGCACGCCGCTGGCCTGGTCCGATGATGGGCCTAAGACATCAAACAAGGTGTGTTGCAGCCCCAGGACTCAGCCAGCCCCGAAGGGGCATATTAGTATTTTTATTATGATTTAAAGTGGTGAAATTAAAACTTTCATTATGAATTTCTCTAGCTTGGGGGAGGGCATGGCCCACTATGGTCCTAACTAAGCTCGGTCACTGCTTGACACAGCTATCCCGCTCGTTGGACGTTTGAGCGGGCCACTTCACTTTGGGCTCTTGAGCACCCACTCCACTTTGGGCTTGAGGAGCCGCCGAGTCCCAAGGGCAAAGTTAGAGCAATCCTAGTGGACCAATTATTCATTTCCTTATTCTTCTTTTGAGGGTCCAAACCACGAAAAACCCTCTCTGATTGAACCCTCATTGAGGCCCCCACTGGATGATAATCCCTCATCCATCGCTCCTCACCCGTCACATGTAGAGGATCACAAAGGAGCCCTCATCTGTGTGGACTGTGGAGGAACAACGAGTAACTCAGACATCTCTGCTCGAAGTAGGTTCTACTATGCCGGCTAGAGATGAAGTAGGTATGCCCTCATCTCTAATTGTATAGTAGAGTGAGGAGAGAGTGTACCTAGCCGATGATCATGCTGCCATGGGTCAAATCCACTAATGCATAAAAGGTTTGTACGGGTGGCACCCTCGCACTACCATGGGCAGATCCATACCACGCGCACCAGATCCTGTTGTCTGCGCTCCTACTGGCTTCTTAGTCCGTGGAAGGAAGGAATAAGAGAGAAAAAAAAACTAGCTTCTTAAAGGCAATTTAATTTGGATGGGCTCAGACAACTCCGGCTACTATAGCACCATTGTAGATGCACTGTAGAGGAGCCGCCGGAACCTCCAAATCGTAGCTCCATCAATTTTCCAGTGCAGTTTGGATGGAGCCGGACCCTGCTTGGAGCTGCTACAATTTCCTACAGTGTAGAACAGTACCAACAGTACCAAGGCAGAGGAACCGGAGCGCCTGGAGCTGCACCAAACAGGCATTTAGTCCGTGGAAGGAAGGAATATATAAACAATTATTTTGTTAGTTACACGATATGAATAAAGTAGAGGTGAGTTAAATAGGAAGGTAAATATGAGAGGTCAGTTAGAGTACAAAGGCATGTAGAGGATTGAAATCTGGATAAAGGAACCATACTTGAAGGGATAGCTAGAGGATCAAAATTTGAGCAATCCATTTGAACTGCTCTGGAGAAGTTCAACTTATGACAACACGGATCTATAATTTGGTAACTAGTTTTTAGCTATCACAAAATTTCCCAAAAGAAAAAACAAATAAATAAAAGAAACAATAAAGAATTAAGAAAACAACTTGACTATAGTTAAGTTTTAGTTCAGATGAACACTACAACACTACGATCTTGAAGTATTATATGTAGTCTCCAATAGACGCAAGCGGCACGACTGGTTTTCTCGCACGAATCGGGCAAAGCCCCAGCAACACTACTGCTCCCTTCCCTCGGCGATCCCATGCCACGGCAGCGCCATCCCACTCCCAGCGATGCTGGCCTGCCCCTGTCCTGAGCCTGGCTGCTGCAGCTGCAGCATGGCAGGAGGCAACGCCGCCTGAAAGCTCGAGCTGCCATCACCGCGAGGCGCTACGTGTGTCTGCCGCCCGCCCAGGCCAAGTTGCCACCCGCCGGCCGCCATCACCTCCTGCTGGTGCTGCTGTTGCTGCAGCACATGCAGCTGCCGCATCATCACGGCCGACGCCAGCGCCTGCTGCTCGCCGGAGGTCACTTCGCCGCGAAACGCCGCCGTCATCATCTCCTCCTGCTGCCGCTGCTGGTTCTGGTTATGTTGCTGCATCAGCTGTGTTACCATGGCCGGTGGCAGCACCTGCCCGCAGGATGCACCCTCGCCGCGTGACGCCGCTACCATCATCTCCTCCTGCTGCCTCTGCCGCTGCATGTGCTGCACCATCACGGCGTGTATCAGAGCCTGCTCATTGGAACCCCCCTCGCCGCGCGACACAGCCGCGGCGAGCGCCTGCCAGGCGCCCGCGGTCATCATCATCTCCTGCTGCTGATTATGCTGCTGCTGCTGCATCACCACGGCCGGTGCCAGGGCCTGCCCGCGGGAGCCGGCACCTTCGCCGAGTCCCGCAGCCACGAACGCCTGCCACGATGCAGCGGGCTGCGCCGCCTGCCACCCTCCACCCGCGGCCTGTGCCTGCGCCTGCGCGAGCGCAAGGCGCGTGCGCGCGGCCTCCTGCTGCTCCTGCTGCTGGCGCTGCGTAACGGCCGCGCGCACGCGCTCCAACTGCAGCCGCTCGTCTTCGACCACAGCCTTCTCCAGAATGAGCTGTTCCTCGGTGCGGTTGAAGCCTGCCGCGTGTTGCTGAGTCATGACGTTGAAGGTCAGCACCTGCTTCTCGAAGTGCTCGAGAAAACCTTCCACCTGGGCTCCCATGTCATCATCCCAAATCTGGGTGCTTGACTTCTCTGTTGTGGTGGAGATGCTGCTGCTGCCGCCATTGATGGGCTCAACAACGTCATCGTCCTCTTCACAGTCTGCGAACACGTGGTAGGGCAGCAGCCTGGTCATGATGCGAAGAACACTATTAGTTTGTCAGTTTAGAGTGTCTGCTTAGCATGCCAACACTTGACGACTGATATTCGTATGAACAGTTCTTAGAGTACATGATATATAGTCTCAAAGGCTTTTGAAATTAAGTGACAGAATATGCGATCATTACTGTTTTGATTCGGCAGGTGTATGAGCTTATGAGGTGCCATTAAAGATCGCGAGAACTAACCTTTTCACTTTTCAGGGATGCATCTAGAGCAAGCACTGATATATGTCAATCCTAATCTCTTTGAAATTTCGATTAATATTATTCGTGCTATATAGCTCGGATGAGTTTGCAGAACGGTGTGCAAAATGTTTTCCATCTAAGAACAAGCAGAGAGTCTTAGACCAGTAAAGAGATCAATCATTCAGTACTGGTAATGCACTTAGCAGCTGACATTCAGTAGTCGCAACTGATATACAAAATAGTTAGTGGAAAAAAAGGATGAGCTATCAGACTAGAACTTGACAGCAATAGTAATTTTACTCGAGTCAAATAAAAAGTTGGATTCAGATGCATGCCTGTAATGTTCATTATTAAAAAAAATATGAAAGGCTAGCTAATATTCTGATAGGTAATATACAAAGTCTTATTATAATTGTAGTTTTTCAATCTATTGATATCACTCAAACATCTGTCCCTACAAATCTGTCACTTAAGAACACGATATTCTGTCAGGAATCATGAAAGAGAAATCCAAACAATCATACATCTGTCCCTACAAATCTGTCACTTAAGAACAGGATATTCTGTCAGAATTCATGAAAGAGAAATTCAAACAATTCTTGGGCAGGGCAATTGTGTCCTGTGTTTATCATACTGAAATTAATCCACACAAATCCAACAGAATCATCACGTTTGATGATTCTCAAACCATTCCAATTTTGACACGTACCACGATAAATCTCTACGCCGGGAGCTAGGTCTCTGCATATTTGTAACTCTTGTTTTTTTCCCCGAATCAAACAGTGCCACGCCAAGGGATCATATAACTCTTTTCCCAGAAAAAATCAAACTCACCGCACCAAATCCTAGAGAACAAATCGTAAGCCATGGAACCAAATCAGTCCACAAAATCAACCGCGCGTTCACTGTTCCCTGACGACGAGCGAACCCCAAAAGCTCCTAACGCGCATTTCGGTGAAAAATCCAAGCGGAATGAACCGTGCGTATGTAGCAAATACGCACACGCTCTAAACCGCGTGTGGTAACGCTAACACCACGCACGAAGGCCAGCAACGGCCGAGAGAGAGAGAGAGGGGAAGATCGAACGCGCGCACGCACCTGCTGACGGCGTCCTCGACGGAGGCGAAGGGCGTCCTGAAGTCCGGGTTGAGGGCCTTCCATGCGTCCTCAAATGCCATCTGTTCCGCCGCGCGCGCGCGCGCCACCTCCGCCGAGACGAGACACCCGGATCCCTGTGACGGCGGCATTCCGGCAGCAACGAGGAAGCCCTGCGGCGGCTGCTGCATGGCGGGTCGGGGTCGGGGCCGCGCTTGTTGCGGCTCCTGTAGTAGGGCTTGGTCTCCCAATAGTCGCTGACGCTGGACAGTGGGGGCAGCGATCGTCTCTCCTTGGTCTCCTCCCATTCTCTCTCTCTTTTCTTCCTTTAAAAAAAAAAATATTTTGGCTCTTGACGATAGATGCTTATATTGCTTAGACGTGAAGTATATAGAATCTTGGGGTGTCACGTTGTTTGCGTGTGGACTGCTATTGCCAGTGCTACTGAATTTAATTTGGATATTAATGTGTCCTATATATAGATGTATACTCATTAATTTGAAGAGGAAACTGCACAAGAAAAACATAGACTACTATGACTACTAGTGCTATTAAAGGGGTATTTGGTAGAGTTCCACGCAACACTAGATTAAAAAAAACTGACCCACTTTTGATTTTTCCGATTAAATGCCTCTGCTCCACAAAACTCGTTTTAGCGTGTTGAGAATCCAAATCGTTCAAGGAGAAACCTCACCGAAAAAACTGTGTACACGTAAGGTGTCGCAACGCAAATCTGAAACAAACGCAATGAAAGTTCCCCAACAACATAAACCAATGAGTTTTTTTCAAATAAAAAGGCACGGAGCATATTTGTTGGCTTTCTTCAACTATTTTTAATATCTCACACCTATAAACTAGAAGACAATTTTCTATTATGAATTCTACTATTTCTAAATCACCTCACCCACTTTTATATTTTATTTGTCTCTTATACATTTGTATTAGGAACCATGTCCTTTCTCCTTATTTTTCTCCACATCCTTACACCTCCATATATACCGACCGATTGGATGCGCGCGTATATTGCGGTGTGATTGGATCGATTTTTCCAAGTGCGCAAAGATTGAGAGTA